GGTGTTGCTACAGCTTAATTTAAATTATTGATAGAACACTTTATATAGTGCTTATGTTCTACATGTTCTGGCATGTTCTTCTGATGCATAAATGGCTATAATAGTAGATAGATATACTATTATGTATGTGTATATATAAATTCCAAAGGCCACATTGGCTTTTGGATATACTTTGTGATGGGCCATATTGGCTTTTGATACAATTTCACAACTTCAGTGGTATATATATTTTTGTTTCTAAATATGAAGGCCACAGTGGCTTTTGGTCAACCATGCAAATCATATAAACCATTAATAGATTTTTTCGTTTGAATGAAACTTATGTTATTTTTAAAATTGTTTGAAAATATATTTTTGGAAAATATATTAAAACTAGTATTTACAATCACTATGTTTTCTATATTGTTTTGTTTTGAAAATTACTACTATTTGTTATTTTGTTTTATAAAATTGATATTTTTTAATATTGAATCTATCTATCCAAATCCAAGATTTTAGATTCTGATTCTGAATCTAACTCTCCAAATCCAAGATTTTAGATTCAAATTCTGAATCTAACTCTCCAAATCCAAGATTTTAGATTCACATTCTGAATCTAACTGTCCGAATCCAAGACTTTAGATTCAGATTCTGAATCTAACTCTCCAAAACCAAGATTTTAGATTCAGATTCTGAAGCTAACTCTCTAAACCCAAGATTTAAGATTCAGATTCTGAATCTAAATTTTAAAACCAAAAAAATTTAGATTCATATTTTGAGCTTAAGTTTCTAAACCTCGAACCTGTAGGTTTAGATTCAAATCTATTAGATTTTGTTTCCTGATTGTACTTCACCAAAGATTTTTGTCCATAGTTTTAGTCATTACGTTTTTCTTTCTTTACTTCAGAAAAAAGTCCACCAGTCTAAATATTAGATTTGGCCTCCTTACTTTACTTCACCTAAAAAATATGCGCAGATTTAGTTATTAGGTTTTGTTTTTTACTTTACTACACCAAAGATATTGTCCACAGTTTTAGTCATTAGGTTTTGCTTCCTTTCTTTACTTAACCCAAAATCTGTCCACAGTTTTAGTTTTTTGATTTTGTTTCCTTCCCTTACTTCACCAAAAACGTTTGTCCACAGTTTTAGTCATTAGGTTTTGATTTCTTCCCTTACTTCACCAAAAATGTTTGTCCACAGTTTTAGTCATTAGG